TTACCAAGTTTATCTGTAAAATTAAGGATAAACACTGACTCAGAGTAGCTTAATAAAGAGAAGTGTTATATTAATTATATCTTAGCACATTATTAGTACCTTAGGTATTATATGATCTTGCATTTCATTTTCAGTTTGGTACTCTATGCTTATGCTCTATTATCATTAGTTTATTTGTCAAGCTTGGTTGATTCTTTACTGCCTAGCCTGTTAGATATGATGTATGTATGTCAACTGTGGTCTTATTATCAGCAGCTGGTAGTTGCTTTCAAATGTCATGGCGGAAGTTGGTTCATTATACACCTCAGGTATCAGTGTATAACCTATACATAAGCATAGAGTGCCAAACTGCCAATTAATTAATTTCAACGAGATAGGTTTATATTTTTACGTATGTCAACTGTGGTCTTATTATCAGCAGCTGGTAGTTGCTTTCAAATGTCATGGCGGAAGTTGGTTCATTATACACCTCAGGTATCAGTGTATAACCTATACATAAGCATAGAGTGCCAAACTGCCAATCAATTAATTTCAACGAGATAGGTTTATATTTTTACGAGCTAGGACAAATAATTGACCTCCAATACTGCAATCTGATTGGTCAATTGCAAGGTTGGCAATCTGATTGGTCAATTCAAAACAAGCATGGTAGAACATTCTGATATAATGTGGTATTACATAAGGACGATTACATAAGTTTGATATAAAGAAGAAAAAGTAACATCAGGAGCCCATGTATCATGTATCCACACACACAGATACACTACAACTACTTATATTCCCTCCAATTCACCCTCTGCTAGTTAAAGTTCCCTCAAATTACTCCTTATGATCTAATAATGAAGGCAATCTCTCTCGAATCCCTTGTAGCTCATCTACTTACCAAAAAATGGAATCACCTTCCCTCCTCTCTCAAACTTGCTCTTTCTCTCTCATATATTAAATTCAAGATAGGCCATCACTTATGACCACTTCATTATATGAAGTAATTATTAAATATATATTCACATTATAATAATTAGATAATTATAATACAATTGTAAGGTAGATATTTAACTTTATAATTTACCACGGATATCACTCATCCTATTAAGACCACCTAGGCCTCCCAGAAGCTCGTGTAGAGATGGCCCACTATCAGGATCATCTAGGCCTCCCAGGAGCTCTAGTAAAGATGGCCCACTATTAGGACCACCTCGGCCTCCCAGAAGCTCATGTAAAGGTGGCCGGCTATCAGGATCACCTAGGTCTCCCAGAAGCCCAGTGAAAGCTTGGGGACTACTGAGTAGGTCCTACAAAATAGAAAAAAGAGACATAGAGTGTGAATGGGAAGTTAGAACATAAATTGCAGAACAATCTCTATTGTTTACATCTCTTCTCATGCAAGGCCCAGCTCAAAACATTAATTATTCAAGTTCAGAAAATGAAAATATCAAAAATAAGAGATATCATATGTAATGGGTATGATAATATGACTGATAACAAATGGAAAGATAGACAAATTAAAAAGTGGAAAGATGAGAGTTAGAGTAAATAGTACAGCTTACTTCCAATTCTAGAGCAACATCAGGTTTTGCAGCCATCGTGGGCTACACTAAGCTGGCTGGTGTCCGACACGGACTCAAATTTTGTAAGGTATGACTTTACTTTCAGCAGTTGGATTCTAAATATTATACTAGCCCTACTGAAACAGTGAAACTCCAAAGACTGAAGTAGACCAAGGGTCTATGAGTAGTGTCCTCGAGAGCTTAGCTTTATATAGACATGAATCTTGATCACACCCACTTATTATCTAACACGTGGGAACACGTGGGCTATTATTGACACAGATATTTAATCTCCCAGAAAAGATCTACCTACCCAAGAATACTTCCCCCCAGTGGCGTAGTTACATAGGGGCCTGTGGGGGCAAGTGCCCTCATAACTGCTTCTTGTGCCCCTGCAACTAGGCAGGAGAATGAAAGATACAAGTTACAACTGACTCAACTGAGCTTACTATATTGAGTATTCTTGAGCATTGCTTTATTCAGTGCCCCCACTGTGCCCTTTTTCTTCATTTATTCTAGCTACGCCACTGCTTCCCCCTCCTCTTCTCCACTTTTGAATTCATTTTCTCTGCTTTCTTTTGCTTCTCCTCCTCCTCATTCTCCTCCAACGTGATACAAGTGAAGTTTGGGAATGCTAGCAAAGCCTATAACTGAATAGAAAAATAAGAGAATAAAATCACCAGTAACCCTCCAATCATATTTGGCTAGATCTGTATATATATATATATATATATACAACATATAAATGGATGACTATATACACATTATTTATGCATATTTATCACTTTAAAAATTATCTAAAGTAGATTTATCAACATAGAAAAGATTTCTTATTTGGCCTAGTTCTGCATGACCATTATGTATCAAAGTCACTCAGCAGGTGCCCCAGCAGTGCTTGGAAGTTAAACCATAATATAAATATGGTGGCTATTCT